CTTTAGCTTAGCGGTGGTGACGTGAAGTCCTGTGACCGTGCTGTAGTTCCTTTGCAGCTACGTAAACTATTTAATTCAAAAATCCTAAAGTGGTGTTAATATGCATATAATCCTGCTGAACAAAACATGTAGGCCTAAATATCATAAACGTTTGAGATCATTTTTGCAATAATCCAAAATCCAACAGAAAAATCCCATTGGGTTTTTCTCTATTGAGCCCTTGCAATGCTAACTTCAGATTGGGTCTACAACAATTCATTATCACTGCACCGCTCTATAATTATATTTTAATACAGTCCATCTGCTACTAAACCCAGTAGAAAACCTTTCAAATAACCTAAGAAACCACATTATCTATCTGTACTAATACATGTAATTTCCAGTTGTCGTAATGTGTGAGACTGCATGCCTGCCGAGAGAAGACTTTATGGAAACATAATCTGATGCTAGAAAGCAAACTGTTGCATACATTCAATTTAGATTAACCTTCATTAACAGTTGAACTTCTCTCCCTCCACAGGCTGTTGTCTGTTCCCACATTAAAAGCTCCATTTCCTGTGTGCTAACAGTTTCTGCTGCACTTCAGGCCTCGCTGCCTTCTGTCTGCTCTCCACAGAGGTCACACATGCTGTCATTAGAGATGGTGTGTGTGTGTGTGTGTGTGTGTGTGTGTGTGTGTGTGCGCGCGCGCGCGTGCGCATTACGTGTGCAGCGCTATCGTGGCACATGATTGTCATTACAGAGGAAGTGAGCCGAGACACAGAGCTTCAGACAGATTCACCTGAGGCAGGTTTTAGTGGCACGTTGTTGCTCATAGTTGACCTCCAAGTAACAGAAACAGATAAAAGGAAAACAAATAATCAGATATCAGCAAATTACATTCAAAATCAATATTTTACAATGTTAATTGTGGGTGGAAATGCATTATTTTCAAGTCTTGTTTGCAAATTAGTCGTGTATATTCTTTTTTTTATGACACAGTGTTGGATTTATAAGTCATTACGAGATTGATATTTAAATTAATATTAATATTATGATTTCCAGAGGATGTTTAAAAGGTATTATTGTGACCTGAGCATTCCTCTAGTGCCACCATCAGGCCAAATACATGCTCTCCAGAGGATGAACCACTTCCAACCACAAAAGTGTACTTTATTTATTCAGCTATTTGCAAGGCTGAGAAAATGATTCGTCTTCAGAGAAAAACCTCCTTCGATTTGGTGATTTTACTGGATTATTATGTCGAACAATCGATAGAATAAGCTTTACAAATGGTCTTTATTCTGCTTTTCCTGTAGTGTGTTATAGGTTTGTGTGCATGTAAACGGTCTGCAAAGGCTATAATCCCAAAGTCTGGAACACTTGGGCTCCTATTGGCTATCGCTCCAACTCATTGTACGTGATAGACTAAGGGGCGGGACATCTCTAAGCGTTTGACCAATCACAACAAAGCCAGCAGAGATAACCAATCAGAGGAGACTGGGCTCTGGTTTCAGACAGAGGGTGAAAAGAGGTGCAAAAACACTTGAATTGCAACAAAACATCAACAGTATGCTTCGTTAATATTAGAAAGTGAGTCTCACAATTGATATGTCTGTGATTTCGTCCCCAAAAAGCAACAAAAAAAAGGAGAAGCTTGTCCAACAAATAAGTTTTACATGAAAAGTGTCCCGATATCGCCGCTACACTTTCTCATTTCCTCTGTGTTCTCATAAGGACGATCAGATCATGACTTCAGTGCGTTGGAAACTAATGAGGCCGCTCTCCACTTATGCACCAAACACTTTACCACACACTCTCTCTGCTTATTTATCTATTTATTTATGTTAGATTGTGGCATGAAAGGAAAACAGGAAATGAGGGAAGAAGGAAAGTCTCATTGTGAAGGGTTTGGTTGGTTTTTGGTGAGACTTTGATCTTACTTTGGGGCGAAGGAAAGGGCTGGTGAACAGTGAAGAGCCTTTGTGTTGCAGAATGACGCTCCATCGCTGATCTGTAAAACACTAAGTGCATTTTACTACGCTACTTTAATTTAAAAGCCTAAATTACTTTACGGATTAAGATTGTGCATGTAATAAACTTTTACCATAATGCTTCTCTAAAGATTAAACCAGTGGGATTACTGCTTGAGGTACAAATTATTCAATATATTACCAAAAATGTATAAATATTTTTATCAAAACGTACCCTTTGTCTACCACAGTAGTGGTAGTAGCTCCCTGATGCAACAATAATAACAATAATAACATCAAATATATTAATATATCGTATATGGACACGTACTGTAAGTAAGTAAGAAATTGAGGTACTTGCACTTTACTGGAGTATTTTAACCTTATGCTACTTCATACTTTTAATCCACTACATTTGTTTTACAAATTTAGTTACTAGCTACTTTGCAGATTGAGATTATAAATACGAAATATAAATCATATATTATTATAGGTTAAGCTACCCAGTCGAAGATAATAAGTTAATAAGTAATTAAATCAACCCCCATTTCTACAGGTGCAATATTGAAGTCAGGAACACATACATTTTAACTCAATATTTGAAATGTTGTGGTGCTTAAATGGGCCATTCTGCACAAAGAGTACCTTTTACTTTGGTACCTAAAGTATATGTAGGCTAATGCTAAAACTTTTGTTCTCTTTCTTAAGTACATCTTGACTGCAGGAATTGTAGCTACTTGTAGAGGAGTCATTTGACATTCATTGTATGCTACTTCTCCTTAAAGGTAGTAGGTAAGAATGGAGAATTTGAAAGTACTCAGCCGAAAAAAATCGGCCCCTTCCTTCGACACACACGTACGCACACATGACCAATGAGGGCACGAGATAAGTTTGTGCACGAGATGGAAGGCTGGCAGACAGGTAGGCCATCCAGTTATTTTAGCCAGACCGGCTCAGATGATTGGTCCTGCTTTTTACAGTACCACGGCTTCCACAGATGAAAATTGTATGTATTTATTGTCAAAGCATTTAATGTATTCATTGCTATCGGGATGTTAAGAGCATTCCATGGAATATAACAAGTGTTTCTGAAGTGAATTACCTACCCCACCTTTAACTAATACTTCTTCTTAGTGGCACTATCCCAGAGGATCTGTGCAGCTCCTCCCTGATGTTTTTGTGTATGGCGCCATCTGCTGGCTGCATGGTGAACTAGAGGGGGAAACTCTTAATCTGCAGTTTTAAATAATAATATATCATAACGTTTTTAAAGTGGCTTCCAAGAGAACAACTTTCTTCCTTGTACTTTGGAAAACACCAGAAGAAATGAAGAATAACATATTCCTATCCTAGTTATAAGAGTAGTAATGATTCAATAAGTGACAACAAATTGGTAAACATATAACTTAAATTACACAAAAACATTTCAGAAATGTTGGAAATGAAATGAAATGATGTGCCGTATTTTTGAAAAGGTACATTTTGATAATGTTGACACTTTATTTGATTTATTGAAATATGATTAAATAGACAATTCCTTCTTTTTCATTGTATAATATTTCAACTCGTCTCTTGTTGCAACACAGCTGTGTTTAATTACAACAGTTATTATACAGATGTTATTACATACAGTGACGAAATACCGTTAAAATGATGTTGATTATCATTCTCCTTACAGGCTTATGATTTACAATATAGTGAAAGGTTATGAAAAGCATGAATAATTCATGTTAATATATTTGAAATGTCACATGCAATCAATACATGTAGTGCAAAGAACATATGCATTTGTTGCCTTAATAATATAAAATCCATGTACATACTTATTTTCTATATTCATATAGGTGTTTTACATTGCTTTATTACAACTTTAAGCATTCACAAACATCCTGCAGCTGTTTCTTAGTCTATATTTTAATTTAAACTGTCTCATGAATGTTGGATATCTCCTGGTTTGACAGCTTTTAAAGGCACATATTTTAGAGGCGCTATTTTATATTTGTTTTGATTTGGGTAAATATATCCCAAAACGTTTTCCTCCAAGACACGACCAGAGCAAACATATTTACAGATTGCAACAGCCTTGCATTTTCTTTTCTCAGTTAAATGACATATATAAGTATGTTGGTGCCTTTCATGCTTGGGCAACTTGTTAATATACCTCTAGTCCCAACTACAGGAGCCTCTTCCTGTCCCATCACCATGAGGCTGCCTCTCTGAATCCACAGAGCTGTACAGGCCATGGAGCTGAAACTCTGGCCTTTTGAATTCAACGCTCTCGTGTGTGTGTGTGTGTGTGTGTGTGTGTGTGTGTGTGTGTGTGTGTGTGTGTGTGTGTGTGTGTGTGTGTGTGTGTGTGTGTGTGTGTGTGTGTGTTTTTCTGTATTTAAGTACATGTTTCTGGTATCAGTACTTTACTCCACTACTTATTTTTCTAACAACTTTTTATTTTCTACTTCTTACATGTTGAACCCACATACCTGTACTTTCTACTTCTCACATTTTCCAAACAGGCTGGTTCCTTTAGTTTGAATGTGTGTTTGGTGGCGTGATCATTATTATTTAGAGTCATTGCGTGCCTATTGATTTGAACACGATCCGTGTATCCATCATTTCCTGGTCTT